AAAAAAAAGCAGCTGATGATGGAGCACAGGAGAGAAATTTATACAGCATACGTACAAACACCACAACATGTAACAAAAAGTCAGGCAACAATATTCGTACCACTCTCATACTCAATTTCACTAAGAAAGAGGCAAAGAAGACAAATAGTGCCTGATTCTACTTATATGAAGTATCTGAAATAGTCACATTCATAGACTCTAGCTGAGTATAGCTGGTACACACCTATAATCTCAGCACTGTAGGAGGCTGAGCCAGGAGGATTTTGTATTCAGACCCAGTCTGGGCAACTTAAACTGTACCAAAATTTTAAAAGGTAAGGAGGGTGCAGCTCAGTGTGAGGGCCCCAGGTTAAATCCCAAGTATTGTTGATTTTTTCCCCCATAGAATTGGAGTGGAAGAGTGGTTGCCAGGGACTCAGAAGAGAGAAGTAGAGAGATGCTAATCAGTAAGTATAACTTTCAGTCAAGCAATATTAATAAATTCTAGTAATCTATTCAACACTGTGCCTGTGATTATCAACACGTGTATAGTACATTTACAGATAGTGTTTTAACATGCTGTTTTCTTTTTTTAAAAAAACATGTTTTCTTAACCAACCACAATAAAATAAAATTACTAAAATAAGTGTACAGACACACATGAAGCAGAAAATACATCAGTTGCAACTCACTGGTTGATTTCACAGTGTACAAACAGATTTGAACCTACACTGGGAAAAACTGTTCTAGTGTATATAACTTGAAGTGGCTTTGCTGGGTCTACTAAATATTCCCGAACTGTTTTTTAATGTAAAAACTTGGGGCTGGGGAGATGGCTCAGTGGAATAAGTGCTTCCCTGGCAAGCACAAGGGCCTGAGTTCAATCCCCGGTTCTGCAAAAAAACAAACCCTAAAACCAAAAAACCAAACCAAAACAACACACACACACACACACACACACACACACACACAACTTGATACTGCCAGCATGTGAGTGGCTCACATCTTTAACGTGGTGATAGCAGGTTTTTGAGGTCCTGCCAGTTACAGCAGAACTATATCTCAAGTTTTAGTTCACATTTTCCTGATCGATAAAAAGACTATGGTTGTTTTTACAGGAACAGCGATCTTATCCTTTCTTTCCTAGTGCCCTGGAGGATTAAGACCTATCTTATAACCTCTCACAAGCATATAATTACACCTTATCATATCTTCCCCCACTCTACATAATTAGGAATTACAGCGTATGCCATTACTGCATACATTTAGGGGTAGGAAAAAAAAAAAAAAACAAAAAACAAAAAACAACCCTAACCCTAAGGACACTACACTAAGAATAGTTTTAGTCCATCACCCATTTAGTTGTTTATTCAATAAATGTCCACAGAGGGCTCATGCACGAGGTGATTTCACTAGGGGAGACTCTCCCCTAGGCACCTACCTCCAAGGACCACCGTGCAGGCGCCTTTAGGAAAAGCTGGAAGACTCCTTCCCACTAGGTATACTTAAGTTTTTGTATTTGGGGAACGCAGTGAGTTCACACGCGCGCTCTTAACTGCCAAGGAATCATCCCCAGGGAAAAGTGTTAAGAAAGGAAGAAATGTCTACGTTTTCTCTTCACTTGTTTTAAAATGATACTTAGGATCTTTCAAAGTAATCAACTTTTTTTTTTCTTTTCTAAAAGTAAGGTTTTTTTTTTTTTTTTTTGCTCTTTACCAAAAGAAAAAGTTTGACACTTTACTGTAGGTTTAATTTAAAAGGCGATGAAAATTATCTGCCTTTCTTTCTGACTCAGGTAATCCCTTATTTTTGAAAAGATCGCCAGGCCATATTAAAGGTCTTAAGCTTCTATCTCCAACAAATAAGGGTCTAGGGACCTTTCTTTTTTAATCCCACGACGTGTTTGCTAAACTGTAACGGCTGCTTTCCAGTTTAAACACTGCGGGTCTTATGCAAAACGAGTCCATTTCCCCTGCTTTCTGGAAAAATCAGGATTTAACTTATTTTATTGTTTCAGATAATGGTGTGGTTAACCAGAGAAGAGGAGTTAGACCTCGCCCGACGGAAAATCTGCTACAAAGGGAGGCGGTTCCGCTGGATTTTTCGTTATTTATATTGTTTAAATAATGTAATCCCCGGGGAGCAAGAAAAGTGTCCCTTTCGGGCGCCGCCGCCCCCACCTTTCCTCCGCAGCTGCGGAATTCATGCAAATCAGCCTGCTCGCCCCGGGGCAATCCGAACCACTTTCGCGCCACTCGCTCAGGACCGTGCAGCTGCATAAAGAGAGGGGTTTCTGGAGCCTCCCAAAACCCACTGTCTGAAAGCAAATTTTAGGAGTCTCCAAGTTTATCCTTGATGCGCAGAATACGTGGAGGGACTAGTGTTTTCCGGGGCTCAAGGTGGCCTTGTTCGCTGTGCGGACATTACCTCAGCTTGCAGGACCTGCGCCCCGACGCGGGAAAACCGTCCCGAGCCCCGCCCCTCGGGCCCCGACCGGGCGCCCCGCCTGCAAGTTGCGCGGCTCCCGCGGCTTCGGCTCGGGCTCGGTGGCACCGCGGTGTGCGCCTCCTTCGCGGTGTCCTCTTCCGCGCAGCTTAGCTTGGACGCCCGCCGCCGGCATGGAGACTCGCTGCGTGCGGGTGAGGGCTGGAGACAGACGCGAGGGGTGGGCGTGCAGTGCTGGTTGCAGGCGGGCTGGGGGGGCGGGCCAGAATCCCAAGCACTGCAGCCCTGGGCTTATCAACTGGTGGCCGTCCTGGGCGTCGCCGGTTCGAGCAAGTTCCAGATTTTGTGCGCTCAAGATTTTGAGCAACTCAGGGCTCTGGGGTTGTTCCCGTCTGCGTGCGCGTGGCGCGGAGGGAGGAGAGCCGCTCGCCGCTGGGAGGCAGCGCCGGCGACCCGGGCACGTGCGTCCGCTCTGCACGTGCGCGGGCCTGGGGCCGCTCCCGGGTGTCCCGGAGTCCGAGGCCGCCCCTCTCCAGCGGGGAGCACAGCTCGCATTCGTTGCGTGGCGCCCACGCGCACAGTGGATGCTCCTGGGACTTAGACTAAGGTCTGCGGCTCCTTTGGCCCGCCGAGGGTCTAGCAAACACTTTTCTGTGGGACGGGGGTTACACACTGGGGAGGAGGCGCCGCTGAAGGCCCGGGATCCAGACCTTTCGCTGCAGGGTCCAGGTCTTCCCCACTCCCCCTACCCCCACCCAGTCTCGAGCTGCGGAAGCCTGAAGTTAGGGCCTGCCCAGAAGAGGGGAAGAAAGTGGGGGCTGGGTGGAAAGGAAGAGAGTGAAGTGCTAAAAAGTGATCAGAGTTTAGGGGCTTACGGGCGGGACGTTGGGCTGGGTGGGAGGGGCGTGGTCTCAGCCCGAACCCTGCGGCCGCGGAACGGGCTTTGGCATCCAGCCTGCGGAAAAGCGGGTGTTAACTGTGTCGGGGATTCAGGTCCGACCCAATGTGTGACTCGAGCAATCTATTTCGCCTCTCTGAACTTCACTTTCCTCGTCTGCTGAGGGAGTACCTTTGCTGCCAAGCATTAAACAGGATGGGAAAGCATTTAATCTCTCGCCAGGCAGCCCCCCCCCATGAGCCGTATCAGTTCATATACTTGACGAGAACGGTCATCTCCGCCGTGACCATTTGTTTCTCTTCTGTGTTTTCTCCAAGGATATGTTTGCCTGGTAAATATCGAGGTTTGTGCTGACTTGTGAAAGATCATTGTGTGTTACCCCTGCTACAGCTCCCTACCGAATACCTCTCTTGAGGCAGTCCTGGGCTCTGACGCTCCAGGTAGATTGATGAGTGACTGGCAGGAATCCCCGAAGTAGTGCAAGAGGCGCTGCTTAAGTTATTAGGGGGTTGCAGGCTGGAGCTCCTTACAGTCCTGTGGTTTTTGTGCAGTCTGTTTCTCCTTCGTGGGGCTTGAATTTCCTCCTTTGGGAAATGGTCTTTAAAAGGACAGAAAGACACTTCTAGAAGTGCTGGGATGGTCTGTTAGGAACATAGGAAAGGTAGATTGCCATCTTTGCGCAAATAATTTTACTTTTAGTAAGAGACTGCAAGGCAGACTGTTGAACTTTTTTCGCATCTGACACCTTGTTTTCTGAGTCCTAGAGCAAAACTTGTCTTTTAGAAGTTTTCAGTGAAAGGACTCACTGCCACTCCATGGCCCTAAGGAAATAAAAACAAAGGAACAAATGGAACATTTAAGAAGTGGCAGAAACTGCTATCGTTTTTTTTTACACAAGATAGATTCCAGTTGCATTTTCTGATGAGCAGTGCAGGGCTGCTTAGTGTTTGTGAACGAGTGGAACATTTTTGTATCTACAAGTAATTTACATCTCATGAAAGGACTTGTAAAAAAAAATCCTTTTGCTTTTCTGAATACTAGGATCAAACCTAGAGCCCTGTGCATGGAATCTTACTACGGAGTAGCATGTCTGGCTCCTAGTAAGGGGCTGCAGGAACAGCTGAGAGACTGGTGCGGAGTGCTCAAGTAGAATGAAGTGTCCCTCTTGGTTTGGAGTGGTGTTTTGCTGGGTTGATACATTTGTGCCAAAGTCACTCTACTCCTGACTGGAATGCGGCTGTGTTGGCTCTTTGGAAATCTGCAACTTTGAATTCGAAGTCCTGCCCAATTTTGGTAGTTTGGGAAATTAGCAACACAGCACATAGTCCCAAGCGTACAGAAAAAGCTCTCCTTAATTTGATTTTGGCTGAGAGAGAAAAAAAAAATATTTTGCCATTTTGTACTTTTGAAATTTCCTTTATATTTATTTTAATTGTATTTAGGACAGGGTCTGCAGGATCTCATTATGTAGATTGGACTCTTGGTGATTCTCCTGTTTTCAGCCTCCCAAGTGCTGGGATTACAGGTGCCTGGCCACAACACCTGCCCAGTCTTAGTCGCCAGGGTGGGGCAGGCATGGTGTGGTAGGGGATCGAACCTAAGCTGGCGCTTTAGTCCGCTGAGCTATCAGGCCAGCCCAAAATTTCCTTTTAGAAGTACAGTTCATTTTTTTTTTAAAGTGAGATTGGATTTAAGGAGTTTAGCATTGGATTCATGTGGAGCTCAGCATAATGCTAAATGCTTAGGCCTCTTAAATTGGTAAATATCATTACATTTTTTTCCCCAAGGGTATCCCTCTTAAAATTTGACCTGGTTTAGAATTTTTTTGGTAGCAGTTGAACATCTTTGTCAGGTGTGAGAGATGAACACATCTACTCTGCTGTACAGTAAACATTCCACATAATGGTGTTGCCATTTCCATTTACAGGAAAAGGGACTCAGAGTAAAGAACGTAAAGAAATTCAGATATATGAAGTTGATTTCCATGGAAACGTCGTCATCCTCTGATGACAGTTGTGACAGCTTTGCTTCTGATAATTTTGCAAACACGGTAAGTGCTGCCTGAGAATAAACAGAATTGAATCTGCAGTACTCAAAATGCCCCAAATGCTTTGTGCGTGATTAAAACTGCTTGCTTTTTGCCTACATTTCTATACAGCCGTTAGGAAAATACAGTATGCACTGTAATTTCATTTCACTTTTTGCAGTGGTTCTAGGTAGTAATTGTTGGAGGCAGATTAGCTACTTATTCTATCCTTTTGAAATGTCGCCTAACCTAACATGCCTGATGATTTGCCATAACAACTCAGAAATCATTTGTAAACCTCTGAACCGTTTTTCTTTGTAACAAAAGCTATTCTCTTGTAGTGCACTTGTAAATGTGATTTGCTCTCTGCACGGTGTATGGAAAATTGGTTCTTGAAAAAGAAAAAAAAAGCACAACCACATTTATTTATTTATTTTACAGAAACCTAAATTCAGGTCAGATATCAGTGAAGAACTGGCAAATGTTTTTTATGAGGACTCTGATAAGGAATCTTTCTGCGGGTTTTCAGAAAGTGAGGTGCAAGATGTATTAGACCATTGTGGATTTGTACAGAAACCGAGGCCGGATGTCACTAACGAACTGGCCAGTATTTTTCATGCAGACTCTGATGCTGAATCATTTTGCGGCTTCTCAGAGAGTGAGATACAGGATGGAACGGTGAGTCTGAGAGTTTCACCAGTTTCAGGAAGTAGGGCGCACTTAAGGCGTAGTACCGTTTTCTGGGGGGAAAAGTTTTTTCTATTTTTGTTTTGGTCATGCCAGAAATTTTGTTGATCATTTGAAAATTTTGAACATTGTCCTGGAGCACTTCTTACTATTGTAGCCCTATTTGTAAATCTCAGGCATTTTGTAGATTCTGAAAACCTTGGAACCTCGTAAAATAAAGTTGGCCAAAGTGCAGGTTTTCCTGGTTACCACAGAGAGCCAGCGTACTGAGAGGAGCTGAGCTGCATGCACGTGTAGGTGCAGGCGCTGCTTCCCGTAATTCGCTCCATCCTGGGTCCTGAGAACCTGGGAGACCTCGTGGGTCAGAGCGTGGTGCACACAGGACAGGGAGGGCCCTTTCTGCCAGTTCTGTCTGCTGCTCCTGCTTTTGCTGTGTATGCTCCCTCACCTTTTGGCTGTTCCTCTGAGGCTGCTGCTACTGCTGCTGCAATGATTGCCCCACTCCTGAGCATGTGCTGAGCTCTGCAGGCCTGTTCTTGCCCCAGACTCTGCAGGGAAGCAAGCATGTGCTCCCGAAGGCGAGTGCATGCTTTCACCGGTATACACAGCTCCACTCCTGGGGCAGTGTCGTGGGTAACGTGTGAGCAACGATGACGCCAGGCCTGGGAGTACTTAGCACTGGGCTACTGTCCTGACACGCTTTTCTTTGGTACCTCCTGCTAGCCCCATGGGCGCTCGCTGCAGCGGCCAGCCAGTCTGCAAACCTGGACATGACCCTTTGTCAGTCGCTCAAATAATTCCTGGGTAGTGATTCAGGTTTTTGGGCATTACGATTAATAAAATGCCAGTTGATAAAATGCAAAGAATCCATAAAAGTTATTTGTTAGTTTTGTATTCTTTCCTGCCTAGACACGAAAAAGTACATGAATAGTGCCAAAAACCATGGGGATTTAAGAAAATTTATTTTATTTTGTATTTTAGGGAAGGGTCTAGAAGGTGTTGAGAGTCTCACTACTAGATCGAACTCATACTGATCCACCCCTTTACAAGGTTTACAGCCTCCCAAGTGCTGGGATTATAAGGGCGTGCCACCACGCCCAGTCTCACTAGCAGTCTCAGCGTGCCCTGGGGGTGGGGCAGGCCTGGGGATTGAACCCCCAGCCCCTGTACCTGTTTGCAGGCACTTTAATCTGCTGAGCTGTTTGGCCGGCCTTAGAAATACTTGCTTATTCACGCTAGGGGTCAAGCCAGGGCCTCAAGACTGGTGAGCACACTTTCCACCACAGTGCTACACCTGCAACCTATTAAGTTTTTAGGGGCTGGAGAGATGGCTCAGTAGAATAAGCACTTGCCTGGCAAGTGCAAGGGCCTGAGTTCAATCCCCAGTTCCTCTAAAAGAAAAAGGTTTTATTTTTTATTTTATTATTATTATTAATTTTTTTTTGGCTGAACCGGGGATTGAACTCAGATCCTTGCATTTGCCAGTCAAGCGCTTATCCTACTGAGCCATCTCCCCGGCCCCCCAAAAAGTTTTTAAATGTTAAAGTGAGTTTTGTGGTGGCTCGAACTTATAATTCCAGCTCTGGGAAGCTGAGACAAGAGGATTGCAAATTTGAGCTCATGCCTGGGCAATTTAGTAACTCAGTGAGACCCTGTCTCAGCAGAGCTGGAAAGTAGCTTGTTTCTGAGGCCCTGAGTTCCATCCCTAGTTCCCCCCAAAAGAAAAAGTAAAATGGATCTTTCTGAGACTTCATAGATGCTATATCTTTCTCCAGTACCTTAGAACAGTGTGTCCCAGATGGGCTACATGGTGTCACAGTACACTCAGATTACTTAAGTGCTTGTTTTGATTTTGTTAGCCCAAATGGTCAGTTACCCAATGCTGGTTAAAATTTATTTGTTAAAGTGTCTTTCTTATAAGAAGGATTTTTACAGTTGAATTGGTGAAGCTTATTTTCCATCAACAAGTCCTTAATAACACAATTGTTCTGATTGACCAGAGACCACAGGCAGCCCATGAGGGCTGCAGGACCCGCAGCCAGGGCAGACGCACGGGCCCTCTGCAGGGCAGATCCTCGGGCCCTCTCCGGGTGGCCATGAAGTTTCCGGTCCGGGTGCGCAGTGCCAGGGGAGCAGCTAACACAAAAGCCGCGCCCCCCCAGCCCCCCCCCAGCCCTCGGACAGTTCTGCCGCCAGTTCCAACTCAGATTCAGAAGATGAAAGCGGCATGAACTTTCTGGAGAAAAGGGCCTTAAATATAAAGCAAAACAAAGCCATGGTAAGTATCTGACTCTGAGTGCACTCTTCCTAAGCAACTTTTAGCTTACATCTGTAACCTAAGAGTGATTTCTGTCCGCTGGAAAGGCTTCATAACATGGACTTGAAATACGTTTCTTGGAGTGGAGCATGTAACTTAGTAGTAAGTAGAGTGTGTGCTTCTTAACTCTGGGGTCAGTCCATAGCATCAGAAAAAAAAGAAAAAAAACCCAAAAAATTTCTTTCCCAAACTTTGCTTTTTTTTTTCCCAGTAAGGGTCTATAGGGTCTCACTACGTAGATCAGACTCATAGTGATCCGTCTGTGTTTAGACTCCCAAAGAGCTGGGATTACAAGTGCGTGCCACCACGCCCATTCTCTGTTGCTGTCTCAGCGGTCCCTGGGGTGTCAGCCGGCCGGCAGGGCACACCAGGGATTGAACCCTGGCTGCTGTGCTCTGCCTACTCAGGTGCTTTCACCTACAAGCTTTGCTTTTTAGAATACATGTTAAAGACTTAGTTAAGCACAAAGGAGAAAGCAGAAGCTCTTAAACGTGTCAACTTAATGCAGCTGAGAGATGTGTCGTGTAATCTTTACAAGGTAGCTACTGCTTTTCTAGACCACTAATTTCTATTTATTTTTTTTTCCTCTTTTAGCTTGCAAAACTCATGTCAGAATTAGGAAGTTTTCCTGGCTCCTTCTCTGGAAGACCTCTCCCGGGCCCCAGATCAGTAAGTGTAAGTGATTCCTTGTTTGTGATGTTTTGGGCAAGCTAGAGCCATTTAGGCTGCGAGGCTGGCCTCTAACTCAGATGATCCTCCTGCCTCGGCCTCCTGAGTATTGGATTATAGGCGTGTACCACCCACCACAACATGGCTTTCAAAACTTTGGTTAATTTCTGTCCTTCCTAGCAGGGCTGAGCCAAGACTGAAGACTCTATTTCTCTGTAGGGCTTTATGATATTTACCCTGCATGGGAGATGTGTAGTAAATCGGGGAATCAGGAGAGCAATTTCTTTACCAGGAGGTGGCCTGATACGGGTGATTTTATCCTGAGAAGCTGGGCTGGAGCACAGAGGAATTTGGTGGCTCTGCTGTGGTACAAAAGGAAAGCCCATTGTGTCCTGTCTCTGTCCCCAGGAGGCAGACCAAAGCCACAAGGCAGGGAAGAGGAAAAGCCAGGCGTTCTTTTGTGCAGTATGGAAAAAGGTGTCCAGGGCTCAAGAGATTGACTAGCACAAGAATACAGATGTTATATCTTCATTAAGTAGAAGAATAAATGGACCAATTTGAGAGAACTTGAGCTTGACTTTACAAAATTATAATGACCAGGTGGGCTTGGGGCTCATTTTCTCTCCTTTATGGTCTTTTTGAAACCGTCTCACTATGCAGTTCAGGCTGGCCTTGAGCTCACTTTGTAGCCCGGGCTGGTCTCGAAATCTGAGTGATCTTCCTGCCTCAGTGTCTCTCAAGTGCTAGGATCACAGGTGTGCACCATCATGTCTGGCTTGGGCTCATTTTCTGTGCATTATAAAAAAGATCAAATGAGAAAGTGAAGCTCTCTTTTTACTTAAAAGGAAACCCTTAAAAAGGTGTAAATTTTCCAAGGTACTGCTTCTCTTTGTTATGAGATAAACAGATTCTGCCCTGTTTTGTCTGGCAGTCCAAGAAGCCTCGAAGGCGGACCTTCCCAGGTGTGGCTTCCAGGAGGAACCCTGAGCGGAGGGCCCGGCCGCTGACCAGGTCCAGGTCTCGGATCCTGGGGTCCCTTAGTGCTCTCCCCACTGAGGAGGAGGAAGAGGAGGAGGACGACAAGTACATGCTTGTGAGAAAAAGGAAGGCCTTGGACACCTTGGTACTTTGTCTCCTGTTGGCCCCTTACTGATTACCCAGAGCCTCCACACCCAGTGAACCAACTTAAGTGTTTTCTCAAGCCGTTACATTTTTTTGTTTGATTGTTTGTTCTTGACATCAGAAATTGAACTCTAGATCTTGTGCTTGCCAGGCAGGTGGCTGCACCATTGAGCTGTGTCTTCAGCCCTACACTTAGAACTGTTAATGTCACATGAACTGAGTTTGATTTTTCTTGTTTTGGGGTTAAACCCAGGGCCTTCACGGAGAACCACAGCCTCAGCCTGTTTTGTCTTTATTCTGAGACAGAGTCTTGCTAGATTGCCCAGGCTGGGCTCAGTTTTGTGATTCTCCTGCCTCAGCCTCCCAGAATACTGGTTGATTTTGTTAGGTTTTCTCAGTTGTAGGAGCCATTTCCACAATGTGGACCTTTCATCCCACATTACGCTTACGACCCCCCTTTTCTCTGTAAGCAGGTTGAATTTTCTGGGAAGAAAGTACAAATCAGGTGCCTGGGATTCAGAGTTGGGGGAGCCAGGCAGGAGCCCCTTCTCATGCTTCTCATTGTCACACAGGATGATGACATCCCCAGAGGTCGCCGCCCAGGATCCATGACCCTTCCACATATAGTTCGCCCAGTGGAAGAAATCACAGAGGATGAGTTGGAGAATATCTGTAGCAATTCCCGAGAGAAGATCTACAACCGCTCACTGGTGAGGGCCCCAGAGTTCTGTCTGGAGATGTAGACAGTGCGAGGGGAGATGGCCTGGCCCCGCAGCATTGCCTGTGCTTCTCCATGCAAGGAAAGAAGAGTTTACTATCCCTGGGAGGCAGCCCTCCCCCCCACTCGCATTACCTGCGTAGTATGTCTACGGGAATAGCAAATCTTTTTCTTATTTAGGAATGAATTCACTTGTTTATTGTGCATCCAGTGTGTGTGTGTATGTAGATACAGCGGTGTATGGAAGACAAAAGTGGATTAGGCAGAGTTTTGTGTATGCTGGCGTCAAACTGGGCCTCACACATGTCAGTTGAGGGCTCTACCCCAGAGCTGTCTTGTCTGTTCCTAGGACAATGAAGGAGTCTGCGGTGTGTGTTGTCGCCACTGGGAGCAGCCATCCTGTGTCCTAGGCTTCCCTTGCTATGCTGGGCTCCTGAGTGTGGCAATAGGAAATAGGATTCACAGAAAATGTCACCCTCATGTTTGATCAGGACATGCTTTAGAAGCACCGTTTCTCTACAAAAACAGTCTTGTCTTGTTTCCTTACTTGCTCTTCATTTGTAGGGCTCTACTTGTCATCAGTGCCGTCAGAAAACTATTGATACCAAAACAAACTGCAGAAACCCGGAGTGCTGGGGCATTCGAGGCCAGTTCTGTGGCTCCTGTCTTCGAAATTGCTATGGCGAGGATGTCAGGGATGCATTGCTGGACCCGGACTGGCACTGCCCACCGTGTCGAGGGATCTGTAATTGCAGTTTCTGCCGCCAGCGAGATGGACGGTGTGCAACTGGGGTCCTTGTGTACTTAGCCAAGTACCATGGCTTTGGGAATGTGCATGCTTACTTGAAGAGGTAAGGGCCATTTCTCTCTTCCATATCTGAATCTTACCTTCACGTAGGAGTCTAATAAAAAAAAAGGTTAGGAAAAAGAAAAAGAAAAAAAATGTTAGAATTCAGAATCGTTACCTCTAGGGCCGGGGGCAGTGGTGAATACTGACCGCAAGGAGTGCCTGAGGGGAGTTGGAGCCACATTTTCATTGGAGGAGTGGTAGATTGTACACTTGATGTGTTCGTTTGCTATGCCCATGTTCTTTTTGTATTTTAGGGAAGGGTCTTCAGGGTATTCAGGGTCTCACTACTAGATGGGACTCATAGTGATTCCCCCTGTTTACAGTCTCCCAAGAGCTGGGATTACAGGCTTGCGCCACCAAGCCCAGTCTCAGTTGCAGTCTCAGCGTGCCCCAGGGGTGGGCCCAGCACGGCAGGCTCAGGGTTCGAACCCCGGAATCCCTATCCCTTGCGCCTGCTTATGCTCATGTTCTGACTCAGTGAAAACATTGCTGAGGTAAGGCAGGAAAATCAAATTCTAGCCCTGTGGTGGACATGGTGGTGCAGGCTATAATCCCAGCACTTGGGGTGCTGAGGCAGGAGAATATTGCTGTGAGTTCAAGGCCAGCCTAGAATATACAGCAAAACACTGTCTTCAAACAAACAACACTTAAGTTCCAGCCCAGCCTGGACAATGTAGTGACTTAGTGAGACCCTGTCTTAAAATAAAAAGTTTAAAAAGGTTGGGGTTGACTTTCAAAAAAGAATTCATAAATCAGAAGTGAAATGCTGACATGTTTTGTTCTCTTTCACAGTCTGAAACAGGAGTTTGAAATGCAAGTACGTGATACCTAGAAGACTGGCCGCC